GCTTCTTTTAAATCAGGTGTGTGGGAACATTTCCCTGTGGACTACAACAATGATGGGGTGCAAGTTGTGGATCGGACGAGGACGATGTGTCGGCGTTGTTCGACAGCGGTGTGGTATGCTAGTGGTAACACGTCAAACATGCTCAATCACCTCCGAGTCAGTCTCAGTCCCCAGCGAGAGGGTTTTCTCGACGGCAGGTGACATAGTTAACGCCCACAGATCTGCCTTCACTACTGACAACGTAGACAAACTCATCTTTTTGAAAAAAAACTTAAAAATAGAGTAAAGCTTGAGTACCTTTTATTTAGGCATAATGGCCTCACACACACTCACAAGTTAATGAATACACATGTTAGGCTCCTAAAGGTACAGATTTTATTTTGTTTTATATTTATCATTGTATTTATTTTATATTTTGACATCAGGAGATGTTATACAGTTTTGTATTGCCTTTTATTGATTGTGATTGAAACACTTTCTTATTATTTATTTTAACATTTTCAAGACATTATTTTTAGTTTTATTTAACCTTTTTGTTTGTAATATTATGGCCATCTGAGTGTGTGTGTGTGTGTGTGTGTGTGTGTGTGTGTGTGTGTGTGTGTGTGTGTGTGTGTGTGTGTGTGTGTTACTGTTTGTGGTTTGTTTTTAACTGTAATACAGTTAATGATTCCAAATGTTAGAGTTACTTTCCTTATTTTCATACCAAAACATCCACCACTGTTAAAAATAAATAACAGCAAAAATAATTATGCATTTGGGACTTTTTTTTGCTTTTCCTTGTTGTGCCGAAACCATACCGAACCGTGACCCCCAAACGGAGGTACGAACCGAACCGGGACTTCTGTGAACCGTTACACCCCTAATATACACATATTTTCTTCCTTGCACTGATTTCCAATAATAAACCCCAACATACTTCAATAAAACACCATTCAGTTTGAAATAGCGAGCACGCACATTCACACACATGGATACTCATTATTGCATGATTCCTACTCCACAAATCGATACAAATAGGCCAGATTTTCTGCCTCGATAATGATATATTTAATGACCTCTCCTTTCCGCTCTGTCCATCACATGCATTGACTCAACAGACACGTGCACAGTCCCTCCCACACACACTCCAGCTATCACAGCACAGTAAGAAATATTCATCAACACAAACAGCTGTGCTGCATTGGTTTCTGCCCTTTTCTGTGTGCATTTAAATGCATGTGCACATGCATTCATGAGTCTTTGCCTGCATGGATTACTGTGTGTGTGTGTGTGTGTCGGAGCATTCCAGTGTGTGTGTCCTAATGACACATCATTGTCCAGTACTGTTTTTTTGGGAGCCGCAGTAGAGTGTTGAGTGCTACGGAAGAAAAACTGACTGATTATCTTGCTGTCGCTGACATTAAATCAATACAACCCAACACACACACACACACACACACACACACACACACACACACACACACACACACCCACCCACCCACACACACACACACACACACACACAAAATCCTGTCCCACTGCAAACGACAAACACATGCATATCAGATGCATGAATGCACTTTATAACTACATCACTCTGTCCATACCAACACCCCACTTTGCTGGGACCTACTCAAGTGCTTCTCACACACACACACACACACACACACACACACACACACACACACACACACACACACACACACACACACACAATCACACACTCAGGAACACACGCAGAGTGTGGGCGAGGGGCCTCCTGAGGGTGCTGGTGGGAACGGCTGATTGACCCTGCCTTACCAATCTGCCCAGCTCTCTGCCAGAAAATCAACCAATTAAAAGATGCAGGCGCCACAGCAGCACTGTAGGGGGGAGGGGGAGGGGTGACTGGAATTGTGAGTATCGGCAGCTGTAGCGTTCGGGAAGCAGCTGTGAGGAGCTGACCTGATAAAGCTCTGTCTCTCTCTACTATTCTTCAGTTTACTATCTTTAACCTATTTCTCTTCAAACCTTGCATGCATTGGCCTCCTAAGTTGGGTCAAGATGGAGGCAGAGTTAAATAGATGGAGCAACACGTCAATTTGATCAACAGGACAGAAGAACATATACAGAAGAACACATATAAAATAACTAAAGGTCCTGACAAAATACTTTTGGCAGCTGACGGCTGAAATTGAACTAATGTGGATTCCTCTTCAGACTAGAGTGCCTTTTATGTTAAAAATGTGACCTGGTCTATCAAAATCAGTCACATCGACCCGGAACAGTCAGCAGCTTATTGTTTGTGGAGATCCATCTATTGTACCAATTTTGAGCCTGAGCATTGAGGAAGGTCGATGTTTATTTTACTCGGATGAGGGAAAGTGCAGCAGAAAGTTGGTAAGTGTATGTTTGTGTGTGAGTGTGTTAGTTAGTTTGATTGTGTGTAGTTTCCGAGGAAACAAACAAAAGACATACATCTTGTTGTAATGTCTCTGCCGTCCGCAGCTCGGCACGTGACTTTTCAAGCTTCAACGCCAAATTTGGCATTAATATGGTAATATTCTGAAAGCCCATACTTTATTTCCATTTGAGGTCAGATGAAGTGTAGGGAGGGATGGGGAAGCGGTGCTGATCAGATTGAGAGAAGACGATGATCGCTAAAGTTAACAACCTGTCTTTAAAAATGTATTTATCGTCTGAATAGGGCAATACAAGTTCGACATTCTGAGAAACCAAGACTTGATTTAGAAAACCAAAACCCTCAAATTACCAAAACACACGTTTTTCAAATAAATCCACTATTATCTCAAAATGCGCCGTTGTGAAATCCGACTGATTGACATAGAGCAGGTCACATATGCACTGGAAATGTCTGCAGGATAATATATATGAATCATCCTGGCACCCAAAATAATTTTATTTCGAGAGACTGACCCAGATTATTTGCCTGTAAAAATGCTTTCCAGAACAGAGAATCCAGGGCATTGGTGTGAGGTTCTTCTGAGGAACACGGTGCTGTCTTTGTATCAGCCCCTCCTGCTCACCCTCACTACACAGAGGATTCTTACAGTAATGGGAGGTTATAAATAAACCTTAATTTCATTGCATACCATCAAAACGGCTTTTCAGAATGAATGATGGTAATCAGATGACAATCAGAAATGTAGAAGCCCGGCTTTCACTTACATATGTTGGGAGAACTCAGGCGCCTCATCGTTGACGTTTGCCATTCGAATCCGTACGGTGGTTGTACCGGTGCGAGGAACCTCCCCCTTGTCGATCGCCATCACTACGAACTCGTACAGGTGGTTGGGCCTCTCGTAGTCCAGAGGCCCCGCAGGGAAGATGGTCCCATGGGGGGAGATGGTGAAGTCTGGACTCAGGGTGTAGTAGGTCAACTCCGCGTTCTCCTCGGAGTCACAGTCACTGGCTGACACTAAAGAGGAAGACATAGAAAAATAGAAACTTAAATTGGATGGACCAAACAAAGATAAAAACAAGGAACCATAGATCGAGACCTTCTATTCTCTAAGGAGTACAGAGCTGGATTTATGTGATGCATTTCTCTGGTGGTATAATCAAATTAAACGCAGTGATGACAACTATGAAAGCAAGGTTGCTATTTTTAATCACGGTAAATTGATGAATGTAATCTAAATGCGCATGGCTGGAATTCCGTTTAAAAAAGCTTAGAATTGGTTAGGACATAGACTCCGGGAGAAATTGACCACTTTTTTTTCAATCTACAAATGAAGGAGACCAAAAACGCAGAAATACTAATTCAGCCACACTTTTCAGACTTTAATACCTTCTGATCTACACATGGGCAATCCAATCAAAGGTCTTGAGTCAGACAAAGTTCTCCAATCAGGATATTTCTGAGTTTCAGACAAACAGAACAATTGTAAAAGTTCGATGTTTACAGCCTGAGAATTTTGAGGAAGATAATCTAAGTAAAAATAACTCTGTAGAGTAGAGAAGGGATACTTTATAATCTGGGCTGAATTTGCCTGAAAAGGTTTCTCAAATTAATACATGTTAGCTAATGTTTAGCAACCTTTTAAATACTTTATTTCCAAATGAACCAGATTGTACTTGATATTCTAGACATATTTCTCATTTTAGGAACAGAATACAGAGTTCAAAGATACAATCCAATACAATCATACACAAGCAATAGTTACCACGTGACAAGTAATTCCCTATATGTGTCTAATTTAATTGAACAATACATGAAGGCAAGGGCTGATATCAACACAATGCTTCATCAAAATGTGTTAAAACATTTTCTCTGCCACCCTCTTTTGGAAAGGTTATAAGTGGTATCGGAAGCTCTGCAATTTGCAGCCAACACACTAATTATGCACATTGATTTAAGCCATTGTGAAATATAAGAAAAGTAGTCATAACCAGAATCTGAAGTACAATCTGCAAAATGTTTTACTTGATTGTTTGTATTTGAGAAAAGGACATCAACATTAGCACAGGGCTAACGTACCTGTTCCTTCTCATGCTGTGTGAGAGTGAGATTGTAGAAGGAAGTGATGCTACCACGGATTCCATATCTCAAGAGGAGTAAGTGTTATTTGAACAGCATGAAAAAGAAGTCATACTGCAACATTTCTGTTTTCGCATTACACTTCGGGAATCTATGGAGTCAGGAGCCGCTCGACCGCAAATTGATTGCTTTGCTAAAACTGAAAAGATCAACAAGGGATATGAATAAGCATATTTTTCGCTAACAAGCCATTTCGCCATTAAACTCTCAATTCTTCAATTCACATTACATTGCATTTGGCACACAAACACACACATATATCATTGCTTGCTCCATTTAATAAACTTCTTCAGCCTTTGGAGAACTTACTCACTTCAAATTAATTATGTTAACATAATCTCTACAAAAAAAATGTAAATTAGCTTATTAAAACAGCGTGTGCAAATTCTGTTTCTATCCACATAATTTGTTTTCCTTCATTATTTCAGTATGCGGCCAATTTTATTTGAAATGTAAAAAAGATTAATTGATTTTATGAATTGTTGTGGTATTAAATAAAATGCTTGTTGACGCTGGCCTCCAGTCTTTCATCATACTGAACAACCATCAAATTAAACCAAAATCAATTACATGTTCAAAGAAAAAGTTCCTCCTCCACGAGCTGCGAGATGAAAGCGACTTAAACTGCACATTTGAATTGCAACAAAGAAGAGCCTCCTATTAGAGCAAATTGGAACACAAATGAAATTCAGTTGGAGAATAGATGAGTCAGAACGTCAATGCTTTCACACGTAACATGTATCCTGTTTGTGGAACTGGAAAAATCAAGTTTCTTCTGTTTAACTAGCCATGCCATTCCAGCACTTAGACCAAGCTTTAATCAAACAAAAACTCCTTCTATCCGATTGAAAACATTCACTGAAATTAATAGTTTTTAAGTATATTTCTCCAAGAGCGTCAGTCAACAAAAATGTCCCAAGGAGAAGTTCGCTCCCTCCTTGCTAGACTGCCTACCAGATCCGCTGACCTCTGCAGCTTACCCAGAATGCATCAGCCCGACTGGTCTACAACCTCCCTAAGTTCTCCAACTGTTCCTCCGCTTCCTTCACTGGCTGCAATAATCCGCTTCGAGACACTGGTAATGGCTGTTAAGGGATCTTGTCCTTCCTACATCCAGGAAATGGTTAAAGGGGACCTGTCATGCAAAATGCACTTTTTGATGTCTTTTGTACATACAGATGTAGCACTCCAGATAGGTCTCACATGGGTGTGTCCCAGTCGAAAAACCCAGCGGATGCCAGTGGCTGGGGGTGTTGCCAAATTGCTAGAGGGCGTTGCCAAAGTTCTCCATTTGTTCAATTACAGGATTTAACCATGAGATGGCGCTTCATTCACAAATACACAAAGACAACTGGGTGTTGTAGAACTTAGTCTGTTTGCAATGTTTGCAGTTCTGCAGTTGTGTTTGCTGAATACTGTAGCATTTAATCACTTATTTGTTATGGTTTTCACAGGCTACTATAATGAAAAAATATCAATATTTTAGATCAAATAAAGTATATAGTTTGCTTTATGCAGTATATTTTTTGTAATATTGTTGGGGTGTTTTTACACAGTAGTGAGAGTGAAAAACAGGATAGCACAGATTAATAAAATCAAAAATAAGATGAGCGATAAAAATAAAAATAATAATAATGAGAAACTATAAAATAAGAAATGAATAAAACTCAAATGTAATTATCATATCATATATTCTAATGTATTGTATTATTAAGTAATATCGTACATTAACCCAATTATAGCAGATGCCACATTGAATGGATGAACACATTTGTGACCCGCTCTATCGAAATCAGTCGGAAGTCGCAACGGCTCATTTCAAAATAAACGTGGATTTGCATAAAAAACTATTTTTTCGGGGTTCGGGTGTTTTGTTTGATTTTAAACAAACAAAGTCTTGGCTTTCAGAATATGAAACTTTTATTTCCAAACCCACACGATAAATACATTCTTTAAGCTTGTAAAGGGAAGATGAAAGGCAATCTGCTCTTCCGCAGCGCCGCTCCCCCTCCCTCCGGCTGACATTATGAATGTAAGCGTAGAGTAATCATAAATAACACGGCAGGGTCCGTTACAGTTTGTTTTCATCTGATTTAAATTAAAACAAAGTCTTGGCTTTCAGAATATTAAACTTGTTTCGGCAAATTCAGATGATAAATACAACTTTGAAGCTTGTAACGGCATAATTACAAGCGGAGAACGGAGTAATTTAACGTCACAGCAGGCATAACAACAGCCGGTGTTTCTCGTGAGGGTTTCCCCCGGGAAACAAACGCAATACACACAAACGCAAAATTACACAAACACACACACACGTATACACACACACACACACTCGCAAGCTTCTCCCAGACCAGCAAT